GGTATCCTGGTCAAGGTCAAGGTGTTCTTATGAACTAGAGCCACTCTGAAGGTGTTCTTATGAACTAGAGCCATGCTAAAATAGCGCTCCTTTCACAAGTCAGTGAAAGTGCACTGCAAAAGCTTGCGGCACACTTTCACTGACTTTTCCGCCGCAGCGTGTCTGGACGCTGAGACGGGAGGTTGCCCCTGGAGCGCCGGCCGTGCGGAGGGCCAGTGGCTCCGAGGGCAACCTTGGGAGGAGGAAGGGGCACCGAGCATGAGGCTGCCCCTCCTCTTCCTTGCCTCGAGGACGGCTCTATTAGCCGTCTGCCGAGGCCCTAGGACATAATTTAAAAGAAGCTGAAAAAGTAGGATGACAGAGGATTAATCAGGAATGTTCCTGCCAAATCAGGATGGTTGTAGGTTATGAAACAATTGCAGGGTATGAAATAACATCCAAGATGGTCAGCAGTGAATTGGAAAAGTCTATTTAACTTATACCCATGCCATAATAAAATATTTTATTTTGGTGTTGAACCACCATTAGGGCAGGGTCCACTCAAACATCCCAAGGTTGTGAAGTGAGCCATTATGGGGAAGAGAGACAAATTGAAACCAAAATGGAAGCTGAAACCAGAATATTGACCCTAAAAATCAATGTAAATTAAAAATATTTGAAATTATCACCATTTTCACACGTTATGAGAAGCCATATATTCTAGCTTAATAAACCACTATGTCCTGAGCAAGTATGCTGGTGTAGTTAGCCTATCTTCTACAACTTCTTTCTTCATGAGAACAGGGAAAAATTACAGGACAAAAAAATCAAGCAGAGCCGGGGGACCCAGAGCTTCAGTAGGTCAGATTAGACTCATGGGCTGGATGTTTCCTCTTTCCTAGGGATAAACTAAGATAGAGAACCAGAGTTTTATAATGGTGGTTTACAAATCCTGGCTTGTTTGATAGCAATCTACCATAGTCTGCTGCTGAGATGTTAACAGCAAAGTATGCTTCATTGCAGCTTCATTGATTGTTTATTTGTTTGTGAAAAGTAATTAGCAAAGGAAGAATTATTAGGTCATATGTTTCATTTTGGCGGTTGTGTACATCATGGGATAGTAAGCTTTGGATGGACTTATTGTGGCATATGGACACTGCCTGTATAGAAATTCATGTGGGCCATATCTGGTGGGGAAGAGAAGGTTTCTATGCAAACCAATCTTAATTTTCATATCAAATGAAGTGGTTCAAAACAAGAATGTGGTTGAGGAAGAGATGGTAAAAAAATTATCCAGCAGTTTTCAAGAGTAGCTAAGTTGTCATGGGCAATAGGAATAACAACTTATTATTTTTGTTGAAAGCTAATCAGGAGATTTTATTGAAAAGGTATAGATTTGTTGATGCATTCTACATACTGCTATATATCTTCTAAAAGCATAGACTGGTTTTGTTCCTGTCAGAGAGAGTCATTCATTAGACTGATGCTCATACTGATCAGATTGATACTCATAAAATAATGAGGAAGGCTTATGATATTGATCAGACTTGTAATTCTGACTGTGGCTGATGACAGGCAAAATTAATGAAGAAAAAAAAGCTATCAAAATTTCCCCAAAAATTCTGACTGAAAATGCACTCCTAATGGGGGGTTTGTCTAATGCACAACAGTTCTCACTATATATCTCTTTAAGGCTAAGAAGAAATAGCAGCATATCCCCTCTCCACTGTTTACATTTTTATATGTTAACAGTGTAGTAGTTCTGTGGGGGTTTTGTTTTTGTTTTTTGATATCATCTTTCAATAAGTCTTCAGAAAACCATTTTGTCCTTGTAACCATGTAGAGCAATTGGCCAATAGCCTGAGATGCTTGTGAAAGCTGCAGGTAAATTAATAGCAGAGAATGTGCCTGAAGACTATGCCTGGCTGCTCTTGAAAATCCTCCTGAAGCCTGAATTATTTGTATTAAGATAGCCCAGCACTCAGGCCTCTATGAGTCAATTTTTTGTAACAGTTGCCAATATTTTTATACCTAGGAGAACTGCTTCATTCTTTATTATTGCTCAGGAATCAATATTCCCATTGCCCTCACAAAATGCTATACAAGCATTATTGGCATTTCACTTGGCAGTGAAGGGTATCAACATCAATCTCTCCAACTGCACACTTCGCTAACTCTGTTCCACTCCTTGGCTGTGTATTTGTATTCCATCTGTGTGGCTCTTTTCTGCTTGATTTGAATAGGACCTTTAATAGAGCCTTGACACCTTTGGAGATTAGACAATGGAAAGACATCATTTAACCAACAACTAAAATATGTGCATCTGAAGCCTTCCTAGCCAAATGGTTATATTATTCCTTCCCCCACATTCCTGGTTACCAAAATGTATGACTGCATTTATACTGAGAAAATGCTCCCTGCCTTCACCCGGATCTGGACCTAAACTGTAATCTCAACTGCTCATCATGCAATCATTGCTTGGATTTCAAGGATTCTTCTTTTTAAAAAAAACACCCTACGTATGCCACAGCACAAACATCCCTACACATAGAGCAGAAGCACCATGTTGCCAAACAAATATTTTGCAGATCTAATGTAAAGAAGGGCTCTCTGGAACATCAATCACATTTGGCTCTAATTGTGTACAGCTGCACTAGTTTGATAATGCTAGCTCAGTCACAAAGATTTGCATTCCACATGTAAATTCAGCTTTAAACATGCTATTTCTCAACATAATCTAAAATGAGAATTGTTTGCAGTATCCTTTTTCCTACAGGGCTGTGCAATGCTCTACACTATAGTCGCAGGCATTAATTTATTTGAATAACATCAGAACAGTGGCAGCTAGAATGTTAAATAAAATAATAATCCCTTCAGCATCTCTCTCTCTTTCTCTCTCTCTCTCTTCTCTCTCTGTATATAATGCCCAGACTCTGCTTTCTAGTTATTTTTCAGTACTGAGTCTTTCCTTCCCTTTCTCCCTCCCTCCATCTCACACCCTGTATAATATTTTCTTCCCACCATTTTAGTGTGATTATATTTTAAGTTCCTTCAGGCTAAAATTGAATAAAGAAATAGTAAACTGGTGAGTGAAGTTTTTATCTAAAAGTACAAGATCAGGAAGCTAGGAGGCAATGTAATTTTTTATGTGGATACCCTGACATTAGGTGGCTCTTCTTCCAAGACTATTTTCAGCCTTAGGAAAGATGCAGGTTTTTATTACTGCTTTCTACAAGAAAAGGGTTAAGGTCAAATTTAACTTTGGGGCAATAATATTTCATATATTTACATGGCACCTAATGTACATTATTTAGGTATTCCTTACAACAATCCTGTAAGGTGGACCAGTCTACAGAAGAGGCAGAGAGAGAGAGAATAGTTTCGTTCTGCTGCTCTGCTTTTGCTGCATAAAAAATCAGAGAGCCCAGTTGTATACAGACTTCCTTCTCTGATCCTGATTCATCAAAATGTCAGGCATTTTATTCACTTGTAAATCTATACACAGAAAGAGACAGACAGAGCCACACTCACACATCATAAGACATTTGTGTTCTCCCTGAAGTAATATGTGACAGTGGCTGCAATCCAATCTCCCCTCAGTATTGAATAAATGTCCACAAGTGGAGAAACACTACACGTTGTTGTTGTTGTTGTTGTTGTTGTTGTTGTTGTTTGTTGTTGTTTGTTGTTGTTGTTGTGTGTCTTCAAGTCATTTCCAAGTTATGATAACTCTAAGGAGAATCTAGAGTGGGGTTTTCTTAGGGGGGTTGCAGACTGTCAGAAATAGTGCAAATTGAGTCCACTTTTAGGGTTAGGGTTAGGGTTAGGGAATCATGGGAACTGTATTTTATTGTGGCACCAGAGCTCTCTGACAGAAGGCTCAATGTCTCAGGAAAAAAACAATTCCCATGATTCCCTAGCACTAACCCTAACCCTAAAAGTGGACTCAATTTGCACTATTTCTGGCAGTCTGCAACCCCTATTAGTTTCTTCAGAGGGGTTTTTCCCTTGCCATCCTCTGAGTCTAAGAGAGTGTGACTTTCACAAGGTCACCCAATGGGTTTACATGGCTGAGCTGGGATTTGAACCCTGATTTCCAGAGTCATAGTCCAATGCTCAAACCACTACACCATGCTGGCACATGCTACACTAGTACTAGGCAAACACCAAGTATAATAGCACAATGCATAACAAACAATAAAAGCCATGGTTCAAAGGATAGGCTACACAACCACAATAAAAAGTATTGGATGCACAATATAAAATGTACAATGCAGAATTACAACACACAACACACAATGTTAGGCTTGCAAAGACAAAGCACTGAGAAATATGCTGTCTGAGCAACTCCTCTTTCATTGCTATCAGTATGTCCACTGCACAATGGTGACTTTTTGGCCCAGCATATGCAATGTGACTTAAGCATGTTTCTGTCCTTAACAGAATTTATATGTATGTCCCTAACAGTCCTTATTTGTTGCCTTAAATATTACACAGAGTAGAAAAGGGGAAATTAAGTACTGACTATCTAGCCAGCAGAAATCACTCTTTTAGTACAAGATAGTGCCTTCTATCAGGTCAGGATATGTGTTTGTCTTTGCATGTGTAGTGATATTTTATCATTACACATGAACCCTGGGCTGCTGCATCCCCTTGTTCCTTTCCTTTCTGACATGGTTGTGAAGCTTCTACCTCCACTTTAAAGATGCTGCATTTGATTGCCTTGTCCAAAACTGTGGTTAGTTTACACTGTCGCTTAACCTAATAAGCCAAGATGAAATCATAACTGTTGAGTCCCACCTCTTTAGATAACTGTAGCCAAAAGTTTGTCTCTTCTTGCAAGACAAAAGGTGTCCTTCCTTGTGAGACCATTTCACCAAGAAAACCCTTTAGGTGAGACAGCTCAAAAACCAAAAACTAGAGAGGGGGAGGCCAGACAGAAAACATGTCCAATAAAACAAGCATAGTTAGAAGCAACACTGTACATGTTATTGGAACATGGAACGTGAGAAGCATGAGCCAGGGAAAAATAGACATAGGGGGAAAGCAGACGGGCAGCCCTGAGCCACCCCGGGAAGCTGCGCCACAGGGCCGAGGTATCCCCACACTTCGGCCCCGTGGCGCAGCTTCGCCGCCCCTAGAAGGAGTGCTAAAATAGCGCTCCTTCCACATATCGCCGAAGGTGTGCCGCAAAAGGCTGGCGGCGCACCTTCAGTGACTCTTCTGC